GCTATCACTTTAGTAAACCAGAAGAATTTCATCATTAAGAATGAATTATCTCAGGCAGAACATACCTTATGATGAGATGTACTAGGAAGCACACACAAGCATTATGACCTATTCTTACCTAAAACAGAAAAAGAGAAACTGCATTTAATGAACATTCTAGTAGCTCTCATTACTCATCTCCAGAAATTAAAGAAATGTAAAAAAAAAAACAACAAAGGAATGAGGTACATTCAGAATAAGAACATCTTATAGTATAAATGGCTAAGTTTGGTATGAAAAACAGAGTAGAGGTACTAGTAAAATAAAATCCAGGAAAAGGTCCTTCAAATGAAAATTTAATGTACTGATCTTGTTTAGATCTTGAATTGATTAAAGCAACTATAAACAGAACCTTTGAGTCAATCAGAATACTTTTAACATTTGCTGGATGAGATAAAGTAACAAGGAGACTTTTCCTAATTTTATATGACAAGAACATGGTGGATATGATTTTTAAAGTTTCTTATTAGATACACATATTGAAGTTGAGACTATCTCAGCCCAAAACAAGAAAAGGGGCAGAGTTGGGGGGTGGGACAAAGGACAAAAGTATAAACACACTTATAATTCTTGAAGTTGATAAATGTGGAACTTGTCATCAGAGCTGAGGTAAATTATGTTATGATCTCTCTTTTTGTGTATGTTCACATTTTTCCACAGAAAAATGATTTAGCTGTTGCTGACCTATATTGACATGTCATTTACTAGCACTGCAGCAAAAGTTGAATTGCATTAAGGTAGTATTTGTTAGGAAAAAACTAATAGTGTAATTACACTGATACATAACGGATAGTAGCCCATGTTCGTGAGAAATTAAAAAAAAAATTTAGGGCCTGGGATTTAGCTCAGTGGTTCTACAGATACCTCCCAAGTGCAAAGTCCTGAGTTCAATCCCCCCAGCCCCGAAAGAATTCATAGCCAGTTGTGCTGGCACACACCTATAGTCCCAGCCCTAGGAGGCTGAGTTAGGAGAACTGAAAGTTCAAGACAAGCCTGAACTACACAGTGAGACTTTGTCTCAAAATAAAACAAAACAAAAAATCCTACCCCCCCCAAAAAAATCAGGATAATAAGAGATGGCTGTAAATGTTCATGTGATATTTCTTTTTCATTATTTTCTTTATTTTTTTGAGGCAGGGTCTCTATATGCAGTTCAAGGGCTGGCCTTGAGTTCACTGGGATCCTCCTGCCTCAGCCTTCTAGGTGCTAGGATTACAGGCATGCGCCACCACACCCGGCTCACGTCTTATTTCTTGAGCAGATCAATTGTTGACTAGATTGGTAGGTCATTTTAAAATCATAAACTGGTAAAGTGCGGTGCTTAGCAACTTTTCTGGATATATTAGAAAGTCCTATTTAATAATTTTATTTTTGTAAGGAGACGACATCAGTAGGAAGGCAATCTATGACACATCCTTAGTCTGAACACTGTGCACACGTGTGTCCAGCAGGACCCCACACGCATAGCAGGTGCGGCTTTCCAGTGACACCTACTTGTGCACAACTCAAAACTAGAGTTAGAAAATAGCTCAGATTTTCAGCTGCTTTTCCCAGAACTCCAAGATCTCTTTCCTGTTTATCTTGGTGGAATGCCTGTGTTGTACTTGTGATTTTTCTGTTCTCTGCAACGTATTCAAACAAGATTGTCACAGATGAGGAAACAAGAGGTCATTACTTACAATCAGATGTTTGACTTCCTGTGTGGAAAAGATACTTGGATGTGAATTTTTAACTTTTTAAAAGGAGAAATAGAGCTAGTCTCATATAGGTAAATTCTCTTCACGGCTTCCCTCAGGAGTCAACAGAGTCATTCCTAAATTCCTCTCCTCATTCATCTCTGCCCTGACACTCTCTATATCTTGTCTGTTTTTGGTGAGTCTCTGGTCATTTGTCAGGTAGCTGCTTTATAGTTTAAGGAAACACTCCTAGAAGAACAAAGGGAAACAACAGGGGTGGCCAAATAGCGTTAGGAGATGAGAACACTTTTACCTTTTTATTTAATTTGTTTGGTGGTACTGGGAATTGAACCCAGGGCTTTCACATGTCCTTTGCTGTTTTCTCCTATTTTGTCTTGAAACAGGGTCTCAATTGTTCAGAGTAGCTTGAACTTGCAATCCTCCTGTCTCAACCTCCTGAGCACTGAGGTTATAGGCAGGCACCACTGCACTTGGCCTCATCCTTCAGTTTCTGGGACTGTTCTCCATTAGGTTGCAGTATTCAAGCCAATCCAAGAGTAATTCCTGGCACTGACCTCACCCCAGGGTAAACGTCATCTGCACCAAGTGCTACGAATCATGTCATCTTAATGATCAAGAGAGACACTCACTGCATTTTGTGTCATTTTCTGTAACATGGGCTAATAGTTCCTAACTCACAGCATTGTTTGAGAATTAGTTAATATTTCTAAAATGCTTAGAATTTGGCAGGTAACATAAGTACCCTGTTTATGAAATGAATTCCTGCAGCAGTGTGAATTTTAAGTGGCGACTGCTACAATGCAGATGGAGGTCTACAACCACCTTGGTGGACTTCCTGTTGGCTATTACCCTGACATCAAGTGGGACCACGAAACCTCACACAATTAGAACTGGCTCTCAGATTACCAAGCCTGAACAAGTGGGGATGCTGAAATAGCGAGTCTTTGGAAATACACAAACTTTCTTTTTTTTTTTTTTTTTGAGATAGTCTCACTGTGTAGTTCCAGCTGGCCTTGAACTGGCTATATAGCCCAGGCTGGTCTTGAACTTGAAGCCATTCTCCTGCATCAGCCTCCCGAATGCTGGGATTACAGAGTGTGTGTGTGTGTGTGCACATGTTTATTTATTTATTTATTTATTTAGAGACAGGGTCACCCATGTAGTTCAGGCTGTTCTTCAACTATGTAGCCCAAGCTGGCTTTGAATTTGAAATGATACTCCTGTCTCAGCCTCCCAAGTACTGGGATTACAGGTGTGTGCCACCACACCTGGCTTGGAAATACTTGAAATAAATACTGTATAGTTCTGTTCATGAAAACTTTAATAGAGGTATCATATTTGACTAAGGGTATTCAAAAGAAATGTATTCAATTTGTGATATTTGCATACTTAACTGGAACAAAGGAGCTAAAAGATTTTTTTGTTTTTTTAGACAGGGTCTGGCTATGTCTTTCAGGCTGGCCTTGAAGTCACCACCACAGCCTCCAGAATGATGGGAATCACAGGCCTGTGGCACCACGCCTGGCTGCATACGGAGAGCTGTTAAGCAGATTAAAGAACATCTAAATCACAAGCCTTTTTATTTTCAACACAAATGGCAGGTGGAAAGCACAACACTGATTAACTTTGGGTTCCACACTCCCTCTCCCCCAGTCTTGTGGTACTGAGGATTGATCTCAGGGCTTTTCCACTGAACTATAGCCATCTCTTTACCATTTTTTTCTATTTTGCTATTCTCCCGGGGCTGAGCTTCAATTTAACCCTCCTGTTTAGCCGGGGGGGGGGGGTGTGTGTTTATATTTTGTAAAACAATTGTATATATCCGTGTAGTACAGATCCTGTTAAAGAGGCTTTTAAAAAAATATCTAAAATGTAAAATTTTAAATGCAAAAAATAAAAAAATCATTAACGTACCACCAAACCTCACTTCTCAGAAAAAGCACTAGTCTGAACTTTAGAATCTTCACCGTGGGTACTGCAAGTAGCACTGGTTTTTATCCGGGTTTGAACCCGGGCGGACTTCACAAAGTTTAGCGTTCAGAGTAATTAAAAACAAAAACAAAAACAAAAGCAAAACCGAGAAAAGCGCCTCACTTTCCGTGCGTCTACACTGGGGTCCGGCGGGGCACAGCCGCTCGTCCGACCAGGGGAGCACCCTTTTGTTTCTTCGCTTCGACCTCGGCGGTGCGGGAGCCCTGGAATCCCACGGGGATGACCCTCGCAGGCCGCCCCCGGCGCGGCGTGACCCTGAACCCGCTGCTTCC